TAACTACAATACTAAACCACTAAGTCATCAAATTTCCTTAGCATATATATAAATATGATAATATATATATATATATATATATATATATATATATATATATATATATATATATATGTATGTATGTATGTATGATTCAAAGGATTACACATGGTAGTTACATTCAAACCCAATCTAGGAGATGTCAGTCACTCATGCTAAGGGCTCTAACTGGTACAAAGATGAAGAAGAAAAAACCCTTATTCCCAAAGGATCTCAACTTTCCAAAACCTCCTTCAAAGCTCATTTCTTTCTCCTAGATTTTTTCTCTCTAGCTCACATTTTTCATCCCCCTTCTTTCTCTCTCTTTGTTTGTTATTTATATGATCTTTAAAAATAAGAAAAAGTTGAAAATTTTAACTCCACTACTGCAACCATGGATCATCACTACAGTGGTGAAAAGTCCTTTATAGTGAAGAAAGCTCCTACAATTTGGGTGTTGATTGAGCGTTACAATGTTGAGATTCCTAATTTTTTGCTTCTTCCAGATTTTTCACCACTATGACCGCAAACTAGCGTTATAACCATGATTCTATGACTTGTTCATTCTTTCTCCATTCTTCACAGTTGCAACCATGAGTAAGCATTATAGTCATAGATCTCTGAGTTTGTTATTTTTCTTACACAAACAAGAGAAAACTTTAATTAAAAATTCACCACACACTATTTAACATTTTCCTTTTAATTACTACTAAAATTAAAGAAAATTATAATAAATATATACAATAACTTTAAAAAAAATACTAAATATATAATAGAATCACATATTCCAATCACTCCTTAGTAACGCAAGACCATGGCCTAAGCCCTAAGACATTATTAATTATTAGCAAGATGTACTCACATGATACCAAATTAGTGTACATAAAAGTCAACAACTTTCACCTTACAATCATCAAATTTATAAGAATTAACGAGAGCAGAGAAGATAAGGGAAAACCCTTTTATTGTTTTCCCCCGAAAACAGGGTTCTGAACCAGTACAATACAACTAAATAAATATCCTGCTTCAAAACATAGAACTTTACAAGACCATACACATGCAACCAAATTATCTACGGTAACACAGACTCAAACAACATAGTTTTATGCCGTGCAAGATAAGATGCTCCGCCTCCACTAGTCATCATCAACATAGATAGTCTCTTGCTTGAACAGGCCACCAAATACATTCCTCACTTCCTTTGCTGTCTCTGCCTGCTTTGGTTTTTCCTCCTTTGGTTTACTAGCAGCCCTTCTCGGAGTTGCTTGCTTAACCACTGCTTTGTTGGGGGCCAGATTCCGAGCCTTGGCCTGTCCCCTTACAGTGGCTAGCTGCACCTTTGGTTTCTCTTCCTCACCATCAGGTTTTTGGATTGAAGTGGTAATCTGTGTGCTCAACTTTTCCCAGGAAAACCCTGCACCAAAACCCTTTGCCTTGTTCAAAAGGGTTTCCACTGAAGCCCCAGCTGCATCTGCCTTCTCTTGGGCCTCTTGAGCTAAACTAGCAGCCAGTGCTTCTTGCTGGGAAAGCTTTTTCACCTCTTCTTCCAGCTTCTTTGCTGAATCAGCAGCTTCACGGGCCTTCTCAGCAGCCACTCTTGCCTCTTCCTCTGCCTTTGCTTTTACCTGCATTTCAGCATAGGCTTTCCTTCTTCCATCCTCAGGAATAGTGCTGTAAGAAGAAAGTTGCATAAATCAGATAGAATAGGAACACATACTAATCCTCCTCAAAGGAAAGCAACTTAAAAATCTTTGTTCTATTTTCTGTGTTTGGACGAGATACTCTTTTGGTATTGATCACATGTATTCTTTGCGGGAGGCAATTCTACTTAAGTGGGATAGAACTTTTATGACAATTAGGTTTTTCCTCCGTGTATTTAACATAGTTGCATATTCAAAATTCGAATTCGAGATATTGGTTAAGCTGAAATAACCCATTACCAGTTGATGGATAAGTGTTTCTAAAATTGATTTTGCAAAATTGTTTATGGTTAATTTTAAAGTAAAATGATTTATGTTTAAGTATTTTTATTCTAAACATGACTTTCAAATAAAACTCAACAAAAATATATATATATATATATATATATATATATATATATATATATATATATATAATGTGATAGTTAGTTAGAGTTAAT